TCTCTTTTGCTCTCACGCCTCCCCTTTTTAAATGCTCAATTTCTATTACTCGTTCGTTTCTCTTACAAGTGTCCGCAAAAATGTCGTGTTGTCAACACACGAAGTCTAAAATTGATTTTGCATTGTTGTTGTTGCTCATTCGTTTAACATGCCTTCAGATGTGATCAACGACATCAAGTGCAAATCGGTCCTTCTAAGGTTCGTTTCTATTTAAAGCAAACGATTGTTTTATTTTTTTCACATTCTTTTTCTTTAGTTGTTTTTGTTTTAGTATGATGTTGTTGTTTTTGCTAATTGATTATTTTAATTAGTTCGTTGATACCGAGTCACAGGCAGAGCTAAACTAGAAAAGAACCACAGAGATAGAGAGAGTAACGCAGAGAGTATTAAGGCACCCTCTAATTTTCAATGATAAAATCTTTGATAAATGTTAGTAAATACTTTATTTATTTGGGGATTTGTGTCAATGTATGTGTGTTTATAATTTCTTTTAATTTCACGCAAATTGTTTATTTTTATTGAACATTAATTGATTTTGTTGCATCTCACGATTTGATTGTCTCTCTCCAATTTATATTCAAGAGCTAATCATTGTTCTAAAAACAATTTATTTTAGTCAGCACAAATAGAATATTTTAACTAATTTCTGTTGTTGTAAATGCACCCTACATCATTCTACGTTTAAGCATTAGCATTCCAATTTAATCTAAACTTTAGTATCTGAAAAGAATTGTTTAAGATTAGATTGTATTAGATCGCAATAGGGCCTGGCGTGCGCTTCTTGCTCGAACTCGCTCCTCTTCTTAATATTCATCCAGGGGGCATGTTTTCTTGATGTAATCTAAATTTTGTTGTTATTGTAATATCTCGGGGAAAAGATGCGCTACCAATACCTCTAGTCTGCCGGGACAATAAACTGGTGATGATGAAATGTAACCTTAGCCTTTCCTTGGAATGTTTTGACATGGAGTCGAGCCAGAGCACCAGATAATCTGGTACTACGGTTGTCAAGTTGCACGCAGGACTTTGTCCTAGCTGGTCAGTTGGTTGAGGTTCCTTCGGGATCCACGTAGTGTTAGTGGTTTATGCCCAAATTCGCGGGAAGAAAATATTGGTTTAAAGATTCTCTCTACGGTACTGTTGCCATCTCAAGAGATGTCACTGAGTGATGTGACTGAGCAACTTATGTTGAACTGCAGAACTCGTTGAGTATCTCTTACTCTTCGCGTAGTAGGGCACCAGTATAGGTTGGGGAATTTTCAGGTTGACACTTGATAGTTGCCTGTCATTCCGTAGATCGTTCTTTATGGTCTGAGAATAGAACTAGATGTAAGTTGGTGAACAATCGGGAAAGACTCCTCTGCCCGACAGGAGATTAGTATTGATCTAGTAGATATTTTGCTTCAGGGAAGTTCTCGCCATCTCAATAGGATGCATATTGTTTCAAGCTACGCCACTTATAGATGAGGCCTACCACTCAACTTGTCTGGGCAATTATTGGGTTCCTATTGACTTTGGAAATGTGTACATACTTTTTTACATTATCTTGACATAGAGATTTATTGGCTGGGCATTTCGAACTACCAAATAAGTCTTCAAGTGCTATTGCTGAAGCAACAGAGCCATCTCAGTAGTGTGGTTGCGCGTGCTTTAAGAGGTTAAGAAATAAACTAGAATGGGTCATTATTTGATGGCAATTGCATTTTAAATAATGCTGAAGGGTATTCACCTTCCGGCGTTAGATACCGGAAGATTGATTTCACCTGATGTTGGGTTCGCCCCTACTATTGACTTTAGATCAGTGGTAGCTTTTGAGATTAAGATTGATATCGTGCTGCCTGTCATTCCGCAATGGAACTGTTATTACAAGAGACTAGATATGTAACTCGAGTTCTTCATAGAAGGATTCAGGGGCGCGTCGTAGACCGTCTCAAGTCTACCCAGCGGATGAAAAAGACCACCGTCAAATAAGGCCGTCAAGGAAAGCATTTACACAATCTCCTTCCTATTTTGCAAGTACATTCATTATTTCACTGTCGATTATCGCTGTATAGCCTGGTAACCCATATGATACAGAGCTTTTCTCTGAAAAAGTTTTCACAATAGGTGTTAGATTTAATCCAATTCATGGACTTTCACCTAAAAGTAAGTATTATGAAAGACGTTATTTCGATTTTTGGGGTTTTAATGAAGATCTCAAGGCCCATTTTATTTCCCGACTTAGAGCCATCCATGTAACAGCAGATTCTATAGAAGTTTGCTTTAAAGTTTCGCTTGAACATTATTTTCTATCTCACAGTTCAGACAATTTCTCTTACCGTTATGCATTCGGGAACGTCGGGTGTGTGTGTGCATAACCTAACCAGATATGTCCAGTATAGATTGTTGACCTTTATTGTGACTGACTTTGTTTAGTTAACCTAAAGATGAAAATCTCTCGGTTGTGAGTGCCGTCTCAAGTCTTACATGGTTGCCGATCAGAGTAATATACAGCAATGTTTCTAAAATTTTGGCCGATGTATTGCTCAGGACCCCATTTATATAGTTGGTCTAATTGCGATTTTATAAATACAGTGTTTCATAGTTGGACTAAGACAAAATTTCAAGCATGTTGTTCTAAATCTGTTGTATTTCGAATATGTGTGGTACTTATTGAAATCCAAGATTGAAGGACTCCAGAGTAGCGGCAGTGTCATTGTTACTTACCTAGAACAGTATTATAAACGCCTAAACTCTCTCTTTTTATGGAAACATCAAAGAAATAAACGACCCCATGTCTTTGATCCAGGATACTGAAGTCTCTAAGGGCAATGTGAGTACTCAGAGCCACTGAAGTTAATGTTAACACAACAATTAAAAAGGAGTGTCACTAATGTTGGTATATCGTTTGGTTAATGACTTCGACCAACTCATAGTTAAGAAGTCAGTGGCCTAATCTCGCAGTGGCCATTTACATCCGTGGTCCCAATCGCCCCCGAATGACTTCAATGAAGGACACGCAGGTGGCAATTTTTGTCCATGTGCGAGCACATTATTCAAGTACTCGAGCTACTAATTTCTTGTAACGATAGTCCCATTGCAGAAAGACAAGCATCATAAGTAAAACTCAATTAATACCTCGACAAGAAAGAAGGAAATCACCCAATTGAGACAGAATGTCTAAGTGCCTTGACGTTCTTACTTAGACTTACGACGGTCCACCACCGCATCCCAGAGACCTCAATTAAGAATATTCATTTGGAAATTTTTTGTTCTGCCGGCTCATGTACAAGAACTTTACTGGAGTACTCGAGTCATCTAATTAATCTCTTGCCAAGTGATAACGTTGTGGGATGACAGATAATGTTTGTCCCGACCAGGAAGAGAACTACCAAACAGATCAATAGAGAAGTTTTCAGCTAAATTCAATAAAACGATCCTGATGTATCCATAATATACGTTGCCATGAAAGACGCCATAGCGTAAAGATTCACCAATTAACATCAGTTCCATTCTCATAAGGAACGATCTACGGAATGACAGGCAACTACTTATTGTCAACCTGAAAATTTTCCAACCTGTTCTGGTGCCCTATTACGCGAAGTGTAAATGATACTCAAAGGGTTAAGGGATCTAGCACAAATTGCCTTGTCACATAACCCACATCTGTTGATTTCGGTATATCAGTTTTTAACCAACATCCTCTCCCCGCAAATTTGGGTATAAACCACGGCCAGTAATTGGATTCCGAAGGAACCTCAACCAACTGATCACCCGTAGTACCAGATTATATGTCATGCCTCTTTATAGTCCTGGCAGACTAGACCTCTTTTTCCCGAGCTTGCAATAACACCAAGATGGAGATTTCGTCAAGTTGAGTCAGTAGAGCGGGGTTCCCTTAAACTGCCTAAAGATAGAGATGATCCACCAAGATTAACCTTTTAAAGACCGTGCAACCGCACTACATAGACGGATCTGTTGTTTCGGCAACAGCAACAGAATATGTGCTAATATTAATCAGAATCTCTCTTTCATGTCGGGAAAAGTCATAGAAATGATCATATAGTTAACTAAACCCAATAACTGTCCCGACAGAAAGAGATATGTAAGTCTCAATTACAATCGCGTAGCTTTCCACAATATAACAACTGTAAAGAATAAATAACTAGCCTACTCAATCAGTTTCAATACTCCTCGGTCGCGACAAAACCATGTCGATTTTTCCGAGTTAAATTAGTTCCATTCCGAGTTATATCAGTTCCATTCTCAGTTCCATCATCCGCGAAATGACTGAAAACTACTAAGTTAACAGTGACAATTTCTTGACGTCGAAAAAAGGAATAGAATACTACAAAATGGGTAGTGTGGAAAAGCTTCTGTTTCGACGTATTTCTAGACCTAGTTGCGCCACCAAATCAGCAATTGGCATCTCTTGAGCTTGCAACAGAACCGAAAGACTTATCCCAAATTACATAGTACTTTATATATCAGTCTGTTGTGGGCACGTATTACCAGTTTATGTGGTTCTCTGGTCATATCCCGGGTAAAAAGACTTCACGGAATGACACTTTCAGTATTTTATTCCTTCAAAACTAGAGGAATTGGCACAGCCTCTAAAAATACTAAAAAAAATGACTCCTTTAGAAAAATAGAATCCTGGGAACTTAGGTCTATAAAACCAAAAACACCTCATATAGGGTACAAAACTTTTAGTACTCGTATAATAAAAAAGTTGATCATATTTGGATTGATACTCATTGTCGCTAAAAAAACAACAAGAAAAACAAGAAAAAACTTTAGTCAATTATTTTAGATTTTCACACACACACACACATACACGAGCACACATCTAATTACACATACACAAGATAGTTCATTAAAAAAATGCCGTTATTTTATTCAAATGCTAATGTATTAGTATCGCTCATTTAATTTTACATTAGTGTAAGTAAATGCAAAGATGAAGGCATTGTTTATATATTTAGAGAAATGGCGCGTAGGTATAAAACATACACATACAATTATGCCAAATTCTAATACATATAAATGGATTAGTGTGAGAGTAAATGTTAGTGTTCGTGTGTGAAGTACAAAAAAAAGTTTCTTATAAAGGCTACACAATTCTTCAGCACATCCATTTGTTGTTGAGTTTAGACGCCAACAAGGATCCATCCAACGATTAAATACATTTTTTTATATTTAAATCATTTTCGTTTTGTTGGCCGATAAAGGTGGTTATTTATTTTAAAGAAATTAAAAAAAAAAATATTAGAGAAATTAAAAAAAATTGACATAAAAATATATTGAAGAAAGTGTTTACTAGCAAAAGGATAATTGAGTGAAAGGATATTTTAAAAAAGTGCAATATAAATTAAAAGTTTTCAAATAGTGTTTTTGTGTGTTTTTGAACTTTGAACAAAATTTTCCGTTATAAATATCAAATTACCAACACAAGCTGATCGTTGGGCTTATGCAATGTGCTAAAAATTGGGTGTTAACTATATAACCTCAAACATTTAATGGAAATTAAATTAAAATATGTTTCAATATATGTATTTCAAAAGTAAAAAAGCACGAGATCCGAATATTTCATTATAAAAGTAAATTTGAACTAGATTTTTTTTTAAGAAAAAGTATAAAAAAGTAAATTTTAATTTAACCTAAAATATACAATTTAAAAACTGAAATCAATACTGATCAGTAGCAGAATATCTAAAAAAATTATTTAAATTTTCAAAAAAAATCTCTTAAAAACCAGCAAACTATCAGTTAAATCAAATTTTTTTTTTTTTCAACTTTCAAAAACTCACTCAACTATCTATGCTTGCACTTAAACTTCCTCTTTATAAAATTAAAGAACTTTAAAATAACCTCTCTTTCCTCTCTCTCTCACTCTCTCCGCAACATTCTCACAGACACTCTAAACTGCCAAAATGTGTGATGATGATGCTGGTGCTTTAGTTATTGACAACGGTTCGGGTATGTGCAAAGCTGGCTTTGCTGGTGATGACGCCCCCCGTGCTGTCTTCCCCTCCATTGTTGGTCGCCCCCGTCATCAAGGTGTGATGGTCGGTATGGGTCAAAAAGACTCCTATGTTGGTGACGAGGCTCAGAGCAAACGTGGTATTCTAACATTGAAATACCCCATCGAACACGGTATCATCACCAATTGGGATGATATGGAAAAGATTTGGCATCACACCTTCTACAATGAATTGCGTGTGGCCCCCGAAGAACATCCAGTATTATTGACTGAGGCCCCCTTGAATCCCAAGGCCAATCGTGAGAAGATGACTCAAATTATGTTTGAGACCTTCAACTCGCCCCGCTATGTATGTTGCCATCCAGGCCGTGTTGTCTTTGTATGCTTCCGGTCGTACCACTGGTATTGTATTGGACTCTGGTGATGGTGTCTCTCACACAGTACCCATCTATGAAGGTTTCGCTTTGCCTCATGCCATTTTGCGTTTGGATTTAGCTGGTCGCGATTTGACCGACTACTTGATGAAGATCTTGACTGAACGTGGCTACTCCTTCACCACCACTGCTGAACGTGAAATTGTTCGTGACATTAAGGAAAAGTTGTGCTATGTTGCTTTGGACTTTGAGCAGGAAATGGCCACCGCTGCTGCCTCCACCTCTTTGGAAAAGTCCTATGAATTGCCCGATGGTCAAGTCATCACTATTGGTAATGAACGTTTCCGTTGCCCCGAAGCCCTCTTCCAACCCTCTTTCTTGGGCATGGAATCTTGCGGTATTCACGAGACTGTCTACAACTCCATCATGAAGTGCGATGTCGACATCCGTAAGGACTTGTATGCCAACTCTGTATTGTCCGGTGGTACCACCATGTACCCTGGTATTGCTGATCGTATGCAAAAGGAAATCACTGCCTTGGCTCCATCCACCATTAAGATTAAGATCATTGCTCCACCTGAAAGAAAGTACTCCGTATGGATCGGTGGTTCTATCTTGGCTTCTCTATCCACCTTCCAACAGATGTGGATCTCGAAGCAAGAATACGATGAATCTGGTCCTGGTATTGTTCACCGCAAATGCTTCTAAATCTTTTCGCTGCAAAAGATTTCGACAAGCTCTAGCCAAGATCAGAACCTCCAATTATGTTTTAAATACGACATTCAACAAACACCAACATCAACCACAACAGCACACATCCACTTTAATTTTTAGTTTTATTATAAAAATCTATTAACAAGAAAAAAAACCAAAAAAAGCACCAACATCAGTAACAAACAAATGAAAAACAACAAACTCTTTATTACATCAAACAAATTATTTCTCATATATGAAGAGAATTTCGAGTTATGTTTTAATTTCCTATTTTGGATTTTAAATCAAAATTACTTTTTCTCTTCTATTGTGAATGATTTTTTGATGTTTAAGTTTATAATATGTTTTTTAAATTCTCTCTTTTTAATTATATTCATACAAAAATAATGAAATCTAATTAAGAATGAATGGATCATCATTGAAATTAATAAAAATGAAAATAAAATTTTAAATAAATAAACAACTAAACAACCAAAAAATCTAAAAAAGACAATTGTGATTGAAAATGTTACTTGTTTTTAAGAAAAAAAAAAAAAAAAAACACTAACAACATTGTTTTAATTGGCCTAAGAATTGTTTTTAAAATTCCTTTATTAGTTTAAGCAAATTTCCTTTTTTTTAACTATTATTTGTTTCTATTGTTTTTGTAACATTTTTAATAATTAAATAAGTTTTTAAATCAAAATTATTTAGTGCAAACATTTTTACGAGGCAAAAATCTGATGAAAATATTTGAAATTGTATTCTATTAAACATAACAGATATGTAGTTGAGAATAGTCAGGTCTTCCTTTTCATTAAGATTCTAATACGCTTTCTGTTTCAATCATTCTTAATTATTGGATTCTGGAAAGAACGTTAGGACTTATTTACTTTAACGAATGATTCTCTTGGGATTTTACTATCTTTTTAATCCTTGAAAAGTGGCTTTACTAATTGATATCGTTCAAACATTACTCTTTTCCATATTTCTGATCTAGATATGCTTTGCTATCGGATAAGAATCGTAGCGATTAGAGGACGAAATTATTAATGTGTAGTGAAAGTGGTTTTCTGATCCATAGTGTAAGCATTTATAGCGTCATGTTTCTAATCAGTAGCTATTCTTAATAAATAAGTAGTCAAATAATGTACCCTCATCGAATTGCATTGTATTGATACCATATGGTATTGTAACAAACAGAATTGTCGTATTTGGAACATATTTAGTTATACATGGTATACATTGGACCCTAATACGCATCTCGAAAATACAGTGTTTGTTGCAGATTGGATTAGTCTTTCCTTGTCAAGTCGTCACCGTCAAAGGCTGTAGGTCGATCATTACCAACGTCTATTGACCAAGAAATGTGCATAGCTCGATATCCTTGCTCAGTCGTTCATACAGAGAAGAAGTGAAAGAGCTTAAAGTGAACACCAGCCGTGTTGTCCTTATTAGAAGACTTACCACCGCCCTTTGTGTTTCTTAATCATCGGTGGCAATTTTGTACACGGTATAGCCGTGAATTTTGCTCTAGTACTCGAGCTGGATGCAGAAACCTCACTTTCGGTAGACCGAACTACGCATCACTCAAATAAGCCGATGACTTGTTCCTACTCACAGAGAGTAAGAACATAGTAAACCTTTAACATACCCGGACAAGGAACGAAAATTCAATGGTATCACTTGAATAAGATTACATTACATCCATCACCATCAACCGAGAAAACATCTCTTTCATCCAACACATTCATTGTGAATACATCCGACACACTCACTCTAGGTATATGGGTGGATGAGGTCCGTATACCCCTATCTCCATCCCGTATCATATATTCTTGACACCAGTTCATTTCCAACACTTAGTTCCACAGCCACTCATGTATAGGGTATGTGTTGTCTCGGCAACAGCACCAAACTTATACCGAATAATAGACTTTATCCTAAATACTATTCCCGCGAATTTGGATTTTAAACCACAGCTTCTACGTGCACCTAGAAGAAACCTCTCCAATAACCTCGCCAAGACAAAATCCAAAACCCTGCCCTGTTCTCGTGGTCGAGGATACATTTAACTCCACCTGTTTATAGTCCCCAGCAGACTAGAGGTTGGTACCATCTCTTTTCCCAGTGATTGCATTACCACCAAGATAAGGAAAGATCATCAAGGTGGCAAGATCCGGGATGGAGAGCTTAGAGACAAACGCTTAAAACCACATATTCCTCTACTGTTTACGTCTATCTCTCTTCTTACTCGATTCTAGCCTAAACACGTAAGCCCTTAGAGACGTAAGCCTACATTACAAAGTTCAGATGAAAGAGATGACATCCGAATACCAACCCATGCGATCCAAGACTCAACCAGCTGAAGCTTAAAATCAGCAGGTTGGTAAATGAGGACAAACGGAAAAGATGGCTAGATCACTTGAAGAACTGCAACTTGAGTTCGGGTGTTAGTAGAGTTGTGGTCTACAGTCGATCTCTTTCTAACCTGACGAAGAAATTGCAGGCATCCCCATTTCCGACTTAGAAGGGTGCTCGCGCAAATTTTGCCGGCAATTCATTGAACATCCAGAGAGAGACAAGGCGAAACGAAGCGTTTGTTCACAAACTTCACAACCTTCCAGTCACATACATACCACAGTCTTTTCACCCCAGCTGAAGTTGCAGACGTCATCAAGAACGCCAAACCACATAAAGCGATTGCCCTGACGGAATATCTATGCTGATGTTAAAATACCATTGCGAGAGGGAGTTGAGTACCTAACTATGGTTTTCAACAAGTCAGTGAGCAGCCTCGTAATACCCGAAGCCTGGAAAAATGGTAGATTCATTCCCATTTTAAAACCTCGAAATGACGCGACGGAGGGACAATCATACAGACCGATCCTATCACCTGTTGCGAAGACTCCCGAGGCGCTTCTCCTCCCCCAGGTATCCAGCCACCTAACAGCAGCTCGTCACCAGCATTGCTTCCGGAAAATGCACACCACAGCATTAACCGCTATTGCCACTCAGATCTCATAAAGGCTTAAATCAGGAGAGGCCCAGTGAAAGGACGGTCCTAGTAGCGCTTGACCTGTTGACACTTCAGTCCTTCGACACTGTCAGTCACGCCACACTCTTCGCGGATATCCTGCAATCCACAATGCCCAACAACACGAAGGGATGGATCGTAAATTATCTGAGTGGCCGTCAGTCGTTCGTAGAGTTTAGAAACAGGCGCTCCAATCCCGTAGAGTTAAACAAGGCGTATTTCAACGTGGAGTACTATCGCCACTTTTGTTTAACTTCTGTGTCGGTCACTGGTTAATTATGCTGCAGAAAGGATCTTCGATATACGAAGAAAACATATGCAGATATGTGCAGGATCCACTGGATCAGTCCTCGTATACGGCATTCATAGAGACGTCGTAAATTACGCAGTCGTAGGATACCGCATGAATGTCGTACTTGGAGGTCGCCCATAGAAGACATGGAAGAAAACCTGCCGCGGAAAACGAGTAGTTCTGGCACAACTAAGATCGGGATGGAGCAACAGGCTCAATGCCTACTGGTCACGTATAGACCGGGCCGTCCCCAACGAATGTCCTGCATTTGGTCAAGGTCCTCATGACACCCACCACATATTCAACTGCTCAGCCAACCCTACTT